GGCAGGGAAAGTCCCTGAGTCTCATCTGCGGGGCCCTCTCCTGGCTCCGGGATTTTGAGGAGAAAAAGCAGCAGGAGGAGGCACGACTTCTGGCACTTGAGCACAGCGGACAGGAGGGGAAGAAGCCACCAACTTCAGCGGAACCAGGACAGCTGGAGAGCAATGGCACTGCTGGAGAACCCGACTGGGTCACGGCGTTTGTGCAGAAGAAAGAAGAGCAGGACATGGTGAACAGGCTAAAGGTTGAGAAATGTTCCTGTTTAGAGGATGGGTGAAATAAGGAGGTGTGAGGATCAGAAAGGCTGATAGCCTGGGTGAAGATTGGAAAAACAAGTGAAGCAAACTTTGATGGTGGTCTTTGTCTTTCCCAGGACTTTGTTTCAGTTAAGAGGGATGAGACATTGCTGTGCAGGTTGCATAAGATACAAAACTGTATTACTCTGAACATATATGTAACAGCTGTGCACTTGAGAAAGGGACTGTGTATTGACAGTTTTGTTTCCAAGGTGGTTTGGTTTTTTTTTTCCTATCCCCAGGGCATAGGGAAGTAATTGTACCTGGGGTTTAGGACTAAATACACTTCACTCTTTCTTCATTCTCCCTTTATTTTAGGAAGAGCAGATCAGGAGGAAAAAGCGAGAAGAACGTCTTGAGAAAATTCGCCATAATGTGCAGTTAAAATACGCAGCAAAGAGAAAGGTGAGTTATCCCATAGAGATTAGAACTTTCTGTTTTGGTTACCTCCGGTATTGTTCATACTCGCTTATATCTGCGACTTCACTGTGAATTTTCCAACCCATCTGTTTGGGGCGTTCTTTTTATTAGGTTGCTGAAATGGGCCATCCATAATTTTTTGTTAGATTTTCTTTTTTAAAGTACAGATGTGAAAAACAGCTTGTGCATAGAGAATTTCCTGTGGTAGTGTTTGTGTGTGGATAGAAAGGGCAGGTGTTCTGATGGCTTCTGGCCCTCTGCTTTTGTTTTAAAAGCTTTAATACTTGGCTTTTTTGGTTTTGTTTTTTTTTTTTTTTTGAAAGCTCTGTTTTATGAGCATATGTGAACACTCTGTACCTCTGGAATAAAACCTGTAGGACTGTGGTTAAATTTTAAGACCATGGGAACACAAGCCCGCACCACCCCGCCCTCCCCCAAAAAAAAAGCCAGGTCAGGCTTTGGTTGTAGTTTGCTTACCACAAGGGAACTGTTGTAGTTGTTTACTTTCATAGCAAATGTGGTTGTGTTGTTCAGTATTGTCTCTTTTCTACATATAAAAAGTTCACAGGTATATTTTCCTGCCATTTAGATGGGTGAACTGGTTTCAGTACTCTTGATTCTAAGAGCTTTTTGACGGTATGAGTCAAACTTCCCAGAAATACCCACTTCAGGTCCCCAAACAAGCAGACTTACTAGGCTGCTAGGCTATTAGTTTTTAGAACAGCTTCAGACACCCTTGGTGCATTTGCTTGTCCTGCTGGGGATTTACCCAGCAAGCTGTTCTCTGTGTTACAGGTGAGAGACTGTGCCGTCTTCTGACCTGTCCCCGGCATAAAGTGGTGTGTGCTACCTCTCTGTATGAGAAATGATGTGATCATGTGTTCCTTTCAGAGATCTGAGGATGAGACAAAGCGCCTTCTTCAGCTCAGCAAGGACGTTCTTTCAGAGGGAGCTGGAGTGGATGTTCTAGAGCAGTTGGATCACAACGAGGAGGAGCTGATTCTTGCTGAATATGAGAGTGACGAAGAAAATAAAGTGTTATCTGGGTAAGGGCAGGGACTGAGGGGGTTCTGTGCCAGTTAAACTTTTTCTATATTATTTTTGGCATGCCTTGATTAAAGAGATTTCACCTGTGATTGTGAAGATCTGGAGTTTCTCCCCCATTCAAGCTGTGTAACGTAGTCATTCCGGAAGTTTGTGTGCTTAATTGGTTGGTTTGGTGTGTTTTGGGAATTTTGTTTTGTTTTGTTTTTTAAGCTTTTGTTAGACTGATCAGAGTGACCTGAAGTGTTTTCTGAGAAAGTGCATCTTTCTTAAAATGTGTGGCAATGTCCTGCCTTTATCCATGCCCAGTTTCCCAAAGAATGCCACTGGATGCTGAGTGAATTACTTGAGATCAAGTTCCTTGCACTAGAAAAGCAAAATGTGACTCAGGACATCAGAGGAAGCTCTCAGTCCTGCAGATTAGTGCTGGCATCTTTTGATACTCTAAAGGGAGAGATGTTCACATTTCTAAAGACTGAGCTTCAGCATGAAAACCCCATGCACACTTTTCTCTCTCCTCCATTTGCTTTATGCAGAAAGCCAGAAGCCATACTTCAGCATGAAAAGTCAAATACATTTAAAATACAAATTTACTAATTAGTATCTAGACAGATCCTCCTGCCTTAGAAATTGCAAAACTTTTAACTACTTCGTTTATATGAAGTTTATCAAACATTAAACTGCTGTTGCCTTTGAGGAACTCTATGGCAGCTAAATATCTTCCTGAAGCTTTTCTTTATGCAATAGCTTGAGGGTGGCAAATTGTCTCTAAAGGGAAAGTTTTACAAAAATCAATAAGTTCACCAAAGAATAGTATAGCACTGATTAGCTTACGCCTGGGGCTTAGAAGCCCCAGATTTAAGAGAAAAAAATAATTTCTTGAAGTTGCTAAAGACACAGCCCTACAGACATTTTTCTTTTAAAGAGCAAGGCTTGACTTGATTGTACACACTTAAAAAGTCAATTTTTCTTTTACCTCCCGAGTTAAGATCTGAGGCTCTTCTTGAGATGACAATAGCATCTCTCTTGAGACTCCTCTCTTGTAGTAGAGCATCATTTGATTCTGTCAGTGATCTGCTGAAAGGAAACTGTTTCAGCTTTCTCTTTGCTTAGGCTGGAAGAAGATGACAATGATTTAGAAGAGGAGCATGTGACTAAGGTGAGATAAGGAAAGTAAATAGTGCCACCTCATAGAACAGCGTAGGAGTGAGCAGAATTATGGCTTCCTTGCGCACTTCCCAGAGACACGTGGTACAGACGGATTTAGGAGCTAGCATCCAATAACTGCCAAGTTAGTTGATAATAACAACCAGTTCTGCTGTGCTCATCTCCTTCTGGACTACACTGGCTGCCTAAGCAGCTTGCTCTGCAAGTACTGCTGAATTTTTGCTGTGGCTTGCTCTAAGAGCATACTGCAAGAAACAGTTTTTTATTACTTTCCAGTGGTGAGTCCCTGTTTTTGTAGGGACCTTGGAAAATTAAATGGAACAAGGGCAAATGCATAGGAGAAAACAAAGATAAGGCTCTTGGGCTCAGCGGTTCTCAGGTGACACTCAAACATGTGCTTTGCCTTGTGTTTTTGAAGGCTTGAGCAAGATTAACCTTGTTGAGGTGCTTAAATGCCTCCTTGCAGGATTGGTTGTAGGTAGGAGATTGGCGTCTGTGTTGTTCTTGTCTTCCCTTTCTTCTTCCTCATTGTAGATTTACTACTGCAGCCGCACTCACTCTCAGCTGTCTCAGTTTGTGCGCGAGGTGCAAAAAAGTCCTTTTGGCAAAAACACACGTCTGGTCTCCTTGGGATCCAGGCAGGTATGTGGTATTGTTCACAAGGCACCTAGAGTGGATGTCAGCTTAACATGGGAGACTTTATGAGGAGGTGTGTGGATGTGACGCCACAGAAGGCATCTCAGGGATTGACTGAATCTCCCATTGAAAAACTAAAGCAGTCATGGGTTGTGACACAGATCTGTGTGATGTACATTTTTCTGTGAGCGGTGTTTTGCCGTTTACCCTTTGATGTAAATGCAAAAATCTGTTTTTCGTTTTCTGATGTGGAATATTACAGATGTCTGAGTCACTGTGAAGGTGCTCTCCTTAGTGTTACTTCTGGCAGCATATTTTAGAAGCTGCTGTGTAGCAGTGAGCCGTCTCAGTGCACCTTTTCTCATTTTTTTTCTCGCAAAGTTTTTACGGGTTTTGAGCCTGTTTGTAAAAGTTAATGTACACAATGTCTGACGGAGAGTCTTTTCCATTTTGAAATCTTCCCTGAGACTGCTTTAAAGAGATCTTTTATTTTACAGCAAAGGGTGCACAGGGGGCACTCAGTGCTTAATGACCCCCTACCTCTTCCTCTCTTTGCATGTCCAAGAACCTGTGTGTGAATGAGGAAGTGCAACGCTTGGGGGCTCTCCAGCTCATCAATGACCGCTGCATGGAGATGCAAAAGAACAAACTTGGTAGGAACACTTCCAGCCTGGGGAAGCAATTGCTGATGAAGCTGGTATGAGAGTCTGGAGATAGTGCACACTGCCAGTCAGTTCTAGCAAGAGAGTGGTAGGAGCTTGAAAATGGCAGGTTGGAGGAGCAAAGCTAGAGATCCTGAGCGCTTTTACTTTTGTTGACCTCCAGGCTAGGATGCTGAGATCTATATGTATTTTCTGAGTGTCTTAGGTTGGTCAGGACTTCTGGAACGGAAGTATATTTGTCTTTGTAACTCAGTACTAGAAATGCTGGAAAATGTCACATGGCTAGATCTAAGTGGCAAGAGTAGTGTTCACTGTGGAGATGGAAATGTTACAGCTAACTAGTTTTTAAATAGATGGTAGGTTAAAAATACACGTGACAAAGCCTGCTTTGAAATCCAGGAGGTTCTGCAAAGTTGTTGTTTTATTGTGTGTATTGCTTATACCTTTATTTTGATTTCTGCTGTTAGAAAAGAAGAGTGATGAAGAGAATGAAGGGAAGAAGAGACGTGTGAGTCGCATTGTATGCCCATTTTATTCCTACGAGCAAATGCAGTTTCTCCGTGATGAAGTTCTAGTGGAAGTGAAGGATATTGAGCAGTTGGTGGCTTTGGGAAGGGAGACCAAAGCCTGCCCATATTATGGGAGTCGATACGCCATTC